TTCTGCTTTGATCATTTTTCTAGCTCTGATTGAGGGGTGTTGAAGTTCCTGGCAATTAGAATGCTAATATTTACTTCCTTGCTTAGCTCTAATAGAATTTGTTTTATGCATCTGGGAGCTCCTGTGTTAGAAGCATATACATTTAGGATTTTTATGTCTTCTTGTTGAATTGATCCCTCTAACACTATATAATGGCCATTTTTGTCTTTTTTGCCACTGTTGATTTAAGTCAATTTTGTCTAATATAACAATGGCTATACCTCCTTCCTTTTGGTTTCCCTTTGCATGGAATATATTTTTCTATTCTTTCACATTGAGCCTGTGGGCATCCTTGTGGTTTATATATGTTTCCTGGAGATAGTATATACTTCAGTCATGTTTTGTCATCCATTCAGCCAGCCTATATCTTTTGAGTGGCACATCCAAATTGTTCACATTAAAAGAGAGAACTCATATGTGGGATGCTCTTCTGTTCATCATGTTGGGTAGTGCCTTATTATTCTTCTTTTTTCCCTCTTGTGCTATTGTTTTATAAGAAATGTGAGCTTTAGTTTTTTGGGATGATTTCACACTAGTGGGTATTTATTGTGTTGATTTGTATATGATGCAGTTCAGAGTATTTCCCACAGGGAAGGTTTGGTCATTATAAATTCCCTCAGTGTTTGATTATCTGGAAAAGCCTTAAGTTATCCAGTGATTATGAAATTTAGCTTTGCAGGATACAAAATTCTAGGCTGGAAGTTGTTTTGTTTAGGAAGATTAAAGATGAAGCCCAATTCCCTTCTGGCTTATAAGTTTTTCTGAGAAGTCTGCTATGTTAGCCTGGTGGATTTTCCTCTGTAGGTTAGTTGTTTCCTATGTCTAGATGATTATAAAATTTTCTTCTTAATTTTGGCTTTGACCTGGTTGATTACATGTACAATATGTCTTGGTTATGTCCTATTTGCAGTGAATCTTCTCATAATTTGATAACCATCTTATATCTGGGTGTCTGGATCTCTGGCACTACCAGGGAAGTTTTTCTCAATAATTCTCTCAAATAGATTTTTCATATTTTTAGGTCTTTCTTTTGCTCCTTTGGGGATACTTATAATTGCTATGGTAGGTCACTTCTCATAGTCCCATAACCCTCTAAGTGATTGTTCTGCCTTTTTTGTTTTTTTCTCTGCTTCTTTAAATGACTTATAAGCTCAAAAGCTTTGTCCTTAAGCTCTGAGATTTTTTCCCTTCTTGGTTTAATCTATTGCTGAATCTTTATGCTGTGTTTTGAAATTCCCTAGATGACTCTTTTATTTCCTTAAATTCTATTATTACTATATCCTTTCTCATTTTGTCTAGCTCTTTAGTGACTTTTTCATTAATTTCCTGAAGTGATTTGTTTGGCTTCTTTTTGTTGGTTTTCAACTTTCTCTTCAATTCCTTTCATCTTATTTGCTATCCATATTCTGAATTCCATTTTTGTCATTTCAACAATTTCCCTGTGGTTGGAGTTCACTATTGTAGTTCTGCTGTGATCTTTTGAGGGTGCCAAATGTTTTGTTTTTTTTTTTTCATGTTACCACGTTTGTTTTGTTGGTTTCTTCTCACCTGAAACCTTTTTTCTCCACTCATGGATAATAGGTTTGCTGGGCACCTGCTCTTTGTGGGAAACTGCTTCATTATAAGAATGAGAGGTCCCTAGATGGCACTCTTTTCCCTATTCTGGAAAATTGATATGGCTAGGAGGGGCACGTGCATTAGGAGCCTGTAAGGGTTGCTATTCTGCTTTGTCCTGTTCATCTGTGATTGCCAGTGTTCAAGTCTGTGCTGGATGATCTTCGTGCTGGATGTTATGTTGTCCATCAAGTAGTTGTAGGAAGTTTGCATTGGGAGTTGAGTGAGACCCTCTTCACTGAGAGCTGGGTTGCTCTGCCTGGGATCTCCCTGCAGAGCTGACAGTGGCAGGTGGTGAGGCTAGGTAGTGGTTGTTGGCTCTAGGCTGTGAGTGTTTTCCTGAACCAGGTCTGGTGTACTGGTGCTGAAGGCTGGGAGGTCTTTGGCAGGGCATTGGACCTTAGAACAGTTCTACTCTGCAGCAATGATGGAGGCTCAGGGGTGATATCCCAGGCCTCCACAAACTCTGGAGCTACAAGGGTGGAACCTTGGGCTCTGCCCTAAGAACTTTGGAGCAAGAACTGTTGAGGATCCCGAAGCAGGACTTCTTAGTAGGGGCTCAGAGCTGGAAGCAGGGCTGTGTGGGTGGTAGACTGATCTGACTTAGAGGGCAGAGTCAGGGCTGATCAGGAGGTAGGCTGTTCTGAAGGTTCAGGGGAATTGTAGATGCCAAGTCATGAGGGTGGAGGTCAGTTCTAGTGGTCCAGGGACCACAGAGTTTTCCCCCAAACCCCTGCAGAACCCACTGAAGCAGTGTCCCAGTCCACTCCCATGCCCAGACTCTATTGTATCATAGGGAAGGGCCTTCCATCTAGAGGGTACACAGCTCTGTCTCTCCTCAGCCCAGTGGAGATGTGGAGGCTACTTCTCCAAAACTCAGTCCTGTGCCAACCTGGTGCTGTTCACTGGACAGCACCAGGTTGGCTTCAGGTGCAGAAACTCAGGATCAGCTGTCACCTGATCCTCACTACACCTGTTGTCTGGTGCAATGACTCCACACAAACTCCCCGCAGGTCCCCAGTCTGTCTAGGCCAGCAGTTCTCAACTTGTGGGTGGTGACCCTTTTGGGGATTGAATAACCCTTTCACACAGGTTGCCTAAGACCATCCTGCATATCAGATATTTACATTATGATTCATAACAGTAGCAAAATTACAGTTAGGAAGTAGCAAGAAAAATAATTTTGTGGTTGGGGGTCACTACACCATGAGGAACTGTATTGAAGGGTCAAAGCATTAGGAAGGTTGAGAACCACTGGTCTAGGAAGAAGCATGTTACAGTGGAGGGAGCCCTCTCACAACTCGGCCAAAGTGTCTGTGGTTTGAGTGTGGCGCCCCTGTGCTCTATGTGCCTATTCTTCCCCACGTGTAGATGTCTTCCCAATGTATTGCCTGATCATCTTCTTTCTTACACTGAGTGCCCTGTGTTGCTTCTCTGTGATTTCTCAGTGTTCCTTCCATGAAGAGCTACTGTCTGCTTGCAACTTACACTTCTTTTCTTGAGAGCAGGGTGCTCACAGGCTGCTTCTAGTCCACCATCTTTTTGAGCTCTGAATCATCATAGAAGTTCTCAAGGTACTAGTACTTTCCTTTTAAGGGCAAGGAAACTCAGATTCTGAAAGGTAAAGTACCTTAGCTAAGTAATTTTGAGAGCTCAGATTTGAACTCTGGATGGCCTAAACTTTGAGTTTATCAACAGTATTTCAGAGACTCCTAGAATTTAGAAATAAAGAGGATCTTTAAAGAGCCAAAGTTTCTGGTTTTGCCTATGAGAAAAAGTTAGGGACCCAAGGGGGCCAAGAATCCTGCATAAAAGTAGAGAAAGCCATTGGAGTATTGCTGGGAGGTATCCCTGCATGGGCATAACCTCAGCAGGAGTGTGTTCTATGCATCTGTGCTTACAGCTTTGAGGACAAACCATTCAGCAGGTAGGTTTAGGGAAAGAGGAGGAAGGCAAGAGGCCACACATGCCCATCCACCATTCCTTTGTTGGTGGCCACTTGGAGCTCCCAGTGCATGTACAGAAACCAGTCTCTAAATCTTCTAAAATGTGGTGTAGACAGGCAGTGTCAGTTAGCTTCCCATTCTATGATCATTTGCAGAGGGGAATGGAAAGGGTCAAGAAGAGAATAAGCCTTAATTCAAGGCTATTGTGTGCTAGACTGTTTGCTATATGGGTCTTCTTATATGTCATCTCATGTGATTTCATGTCACGTTTATCTATGTCACTGCCCATAAGATGTTGCAAAACGATATATTAGTCTATCAAATAAATGTTAGTGCTCCCGTCTTATGAAGAACACACATGAAAAGTTAGACAACTAGTAAAAACATAACTGACATTCACACTTCTTATTCCAAAATTCAAAGAAAAAACTTGTAAACATTGACTCAAACAGTCCAGTTATTTACTTCTGGCTAGGTTTTTTAGTAGCTAAGTTTCTGTCTGGGTAAATGGGAATGGTCATACTTATCTCATAGAAATGTTGATTTCCTTTTCCAGATATATTCTTTCTCTTTCCTGCCTTTGAGAGGCAAGATCTACTTTTAGAATTAGAGAAGGAAGAGGTATTTGACCCTCCCAGAAGTACAAGAAGACTTATGGATTAACAGCCAAATTTGTCCTTAGAATGTCTCTTTGTGCCTTCTGTCAGTTGTGATCCGTCTTTGAAAGATAAAAAAATGAAAGTGGTAATTCCTGCTTATCCCAAGTTAGTCACAGAGCAAGGTGGTCATTGTGATGGGGTTGTACCTAACATGAGAACCTGAAGACTGCAACTCAGGTCCTAGCTTCTCTGTATCTAGATCTCTAAGACAGGCATCTTTACATCCCAGAGTGGAGTGACCTGTGCCCTGAAATTAAATAATAGGTTAAGAAAAAGAAAGCTTTTTTTTTTTTTTTTAAATGGGCTCTGTGCCCAAAGCTCAGTGAGTATGGTGCCAGACACATACATTAAGGCTGGTGGGTTTGAGCCTAGCCCTGGCCTGCTAAACAGCAATGTCAACTGCAACCAAAAAACAGCTGGGCATTGTGGCGGGCATCTATAGTCCCAGTTACTTGGGAGGCTGAGGCAAGAGACTCGCTTAAGCCCAAGAATTTGAAGTTGCTGTGAGCTGTGATGCCATGGCACTCTACCAAGGGTGACATAGTGAGACTCTTTCTAAAAAAAAAAAAAAAAAAAAAAACCTTTTAAAAACTCTCTTCAAAAACAAGAATGCCACAGAAGCTGACTCTTGAATCTTTGCAGCAGACTGGGCTACCTGCCTTCTTCAAGAAAAACAATGTGTTTGAGTTTGTGTTTAAACCAAAGTTAATTAATGTTTTTCTTCTATTTTCTTTGTGTTTAGACTACCTTAATGTCACAAGTGTTCACCTGTTCAAGGAGAGATGGGATTCCAACAAGATAGATCACCACACTGACAAGTATGACAATAGCAACCTGATTGTACGCAGAGGGCAGTCTTTCTATGTCCAGATTGACTTCAATCGTCCATATGACCCCAGGAAGGATCTTTTCCGGGTGGAATACGTCATTGGTGAGTGTGATGTGTAATCCTTTAGTCATGACACTGTGGATCACACTGTAGGGAGGGCAGGTACAGGTGCCACTGCATGATTTCCTAGCATCATAGTTCAACAATGGCAATAGCTGGAATTACCTCCATCCTCTAGACCACTCTGTGCTCTAAGATTGTATAAAGTCAAACATCAATTATTTGGGCCAATCAGGCAAAAAGATAAGGTTAAGTACAATTGACACAAAATGTTGGTTAACTAAATTATTTTTCCCCCCCAAAATGATTTTGGCATCACATAGATGTGATTTTTAATTTATTACTGTGATTTAATAATAGCTCTCATGCTGAAAATATTTGCTAATCTTAACGTATAATCTTCAAATACACATTTTCCAAAGTTTGTTCTGCTCTATTCTGGTCCTATGGGATGGCCTATGAAAAATGGATGACTCATAGAAATTTGACAAACATCTTTTACTCTGATTTCTTTAAGATTGACAATGAGATTAGCTTCAAAGTTTCTTAAAAGTACCATTTAACTTTGGTCTGGGGTCTCTCAAATTAATTTCATCATAGAACCCTTTTGTTAAGTTACAGCTATTAATACTTGATACATTTTGGTAAACATTTCTCTAGGAATTTACAAGAGTATCAAGGAAACACATCCACAGAGAAGCAAGGGTGGCCCAATGTAAGGAAATCTGTCTATATAATCCTACATACAAATTAAAGGAAAATATCAGGTAATCAAAACAATAGTCACTGAAAAGTACTGATAAAATTTAACAGGTATTTTTAGAAAAAGAGTATTAGTAAAACAAAAGCAGAAGAAAAATGCCTCAATTGTAATAGTTTTTTTTTTTTACTTCAAAACAACTTTTGATATCTTAAGTCGAAAAAAGTTAACAAGTTTAATTATAATCAAACATTAGAGAGAAATGCCTGCTGTCCCCATTCCTTTTGTTAAGCATTGGCTTAATGTCTTAGCAAATGAACAAAAGAAGAGAAATACCTGCTATACTTACTGGAAAATAAGAAATAAAACTGTATTTTCTTAATACTATGACTGTGCGTGTAGAAAACCCAACAGACTCAAAGGAAAAAGCACAGTATTAATAACACTTTATAAGATGGCTAGATAGGAGATAATTACGTGAAAATCAATAGTTTTTATTGATTTATTCTAGCAGGAAACACCTAGAAATAGAAATAAAAAATTCACATAAAATAATGACCAAACTATGAAATGTTGTACTAAACTTTCAAAACACAGGATACATACCTTGTATAAAATAACTATTAAATCTTATTAAATCTTCATTAAAAAACATGAAAACCAATAAAAAATAAAACATGATCTTGGGCAGGAAATCTCCATATGTATTTTTTAAAAGTCTCCCAGGATGTTGGTCAAAGGATATATAATTTCATTTATATAGGAGAAATAAGTTTTAGTGAGCTATTGCACAACATTGTAACTATAATTAATAATAATATATTATATACTTAAAAATTCCTGAAAAAATAGATTTGAAATGTTCTTACCACAAAGAAATAGGTATGATGAGAAAGTGATGTATATGTTAATTAGCTTGATATAATCATTTCACGGTGTATACATAGATATAAAATCACAGTGTACTTCCTAAATAAATATAATGATTTTTTAAAATAATTTTAAAGTCTCCCAGAGTTAATATGTGAATTTAATGCATTTCAAGTTAGAATCCTAATGGAGTTTTGAGTTGTTTTTTGGGTTTTGGTTTTTATATATATTTTGACTTGGATAAATAACCTGAAAGTTTACTTGAAAAAATAATTACCTGACAATAACCAAGAAAACTATACAAAGAAATAGACTGTTTCATATCAGAACATACCATAAAAAATATTTAGTAGGGCACAACAGAGAATCCAAAAATAGATTTCAGTACATGAGTAATATAGCTGTTGGTTTCATGGACTAAGAAAAGTATGTGGGTTTTTTTGTGAATGTTGCTGTTGTTTTAATAAATAACATAAGTAATGATGGAACAACTGTCTCTCCAAGTGGAAGAAAATACAAAATTGAGTCTCATATATGGTAATAAATTTTGGATAGAATAAATATTAATGTAGAAAATGAAGCTCTCACAAGACAATTTTGTGAGACAATGTAACAGACAAACTCTGACACTGTAAAAGAAAATAAAAACTATATATAGTCATGTGCTGCATAATGACATTTTGGTTAGTGACAGATCACATATAAGATGGTGATCTCATAAGATTGTAATAGAGCTGAAAAATTTCTATTGCCTTGTAATGTCATAGCTGTCATAATGTCATAGCACAATTATTTTATCTTTAACAAATTTATTGTAGCATTTATTGTGCAGTGTTTATGAAGTCTATACAGTAGTGCATGGTGATGTCCTAGGCCTTCACATTCACTCACCACTCACTCACTGACCCAGACAGAGCAACTTCCAGTCCTGCAAGCTCCATTTATGATAAGTGCCCTGTACAGGTGTACTGTTTTTATCTTTTATTTCATATTTTTATTGGAACTTTTCTACATTTAGATGCACAAACATTTACCATTGTGTTGCACTGGCCTATAGTATCAGTACAGTATTTGTACAGTATGCTGTATGGGTTTGTAGCTTAGGAACAATAGGTTGTACCATGTAGCCTAGGTATGCAGTAGGACTTGCTTTGTGCTGTACTACATAGACTAGGTGTGCAATAGGACTTGTTTTGTGTAAGGACACTAAGTGATTTTGGCACAGCAACAAGAGTTGTACTTCCTGCATGACAACAAACACCCATTTGAAACTGTCCATAGTCCTAATGCAGTTATGAGGGTACTTTTATTTTGACCTTTATAGCCACATCTTTAGGGCAGGGAAAAGAGGATAAGGATGCTTCAGCCTGGTTTGAGACAATGGTAAGATGAGTTCTCAGGAGACAAACTCTGAGAAGGAGGTGTGTTTGCAGAGAGTTTATTGGAGAGTGCTCTCAGGGTTGACATCTGTGAGGAAGAGAGTGAGTCAGTGTCGGGCAGTATTTTGTGCTTGAACCTCCAAGCACAAAAACCTCTATGGATCCCAAGGTGAGTTCTGGAGAGGGATTTGATCCTCAAAGTCATCCTGCCTTGAGGCCAGAGATCAGCCCTTTATATTCTCTGGGGAATACAGAGAATATACACTGGGGTTGTCACCCTAGTGTAGTTGGTTCTCTGCAGCTGAGGGCAAACCCCTGAAAGCAACTGGATGAATGAGGGCTGCCAGCCACTGACAGCACCAGATCTGGGCAGCAAGCCACCATGTCCGCTACAGTGAGCAGCCGAAGTCCTCGTTTCTTCTTTATATAAGAAATTGTGTTACTTTTATTCCTTCAGTATAAAGGGGGAAAACATAGACAATTTGTCTTTGAAATAAAATGTGTACATTTTTTTAAACCAACATGTATTCTAAACCTTTCACAGAGCCCATGATGTGTTCTTTCAGAGTATTCCCATAAGTATAGCCCCATATAGACACTATTACAATTGAAGATGATCCGTTTCCCAATTTATTGTAGACACAAGAAAGGAAAATGACAAAACTCCACACCACACTCTACTAGTTAATGTATGGGAAACCAAGCGTACTTCTAAGGTGACTTAAAAGACCAATGATACACAAGTTACCCAGCTCAGTGTCCTTTTTGCATCTTATGTCATTTGGGAAGTTACAGGACAATCTCAACTTCTTCTTGCAGTAGTGCTAGGTCTGAAAAAAGAATATTTGGGGGCACTCACTGGGGAAATAATTCTCTTAAAATTCAGTACCCGTTTCAATAGCACTGAATAGAGCCATAGAAATTAGATTTTAAAGGTAATTGCTGTAATGAGAAGAGACAAGTATTGAATGTGAGCTAGAAATGAAATTAAAAGGTTCATATAAACAGGTGCACCTCAATTTCCAGAAAGTAAAACCAATGATTTAAAAAACAGAAAGGAGAATACTTTGTTAAAAACAAAGGGTACATAAAAGAACATCTACCAACACTTCTTTAAGAATGTTTACGAGATTTATCAACAAAGATCAATTTACTCACTATGTACTTTTAAAGAATAGAGCTGTTGCATCTAGCAAACTGTTATTATATTAAAAATACAGAAAAATTACTTTGCATTTAAATTGCTTCCAATTTGCATTTGGTTCTTGTTCTCTTTCCCTACAACTGTGCATAAGATGAGCTTGGGTGCTTCCATATACTGGAGTTGCCCTGTGTTGCTGCCTGAGAACTGAAGTCATGGGATTTATTTATAAGTGATCCTGCCCTCTAACCAACCAACCTTCCTTTCTTCCTTCCTTCCTCCCTCCCTTCCTTCCTTCTTTCCTTCCTTCCTTTCCTCTTTTTAAATATTTAAGTAAATAGGCTCTCTTGGATGTTCCCAGATTAACCCCTATGTGCCAGGTGCTCCAAGTACACAGGTGAAAGGGAGCACTGGCCCGTTACCTCGGAGGCTGGGGTGTGATGGTTTGTGCCTAGGGGTATCTGTGCTGTGATATCTACATTCATTAGTTGCTGGTAGAGGGCAGCTATCTCTGTGAGTTAGGTGGGAGGTGTTAATGCATTGGAGGAGGTGGGTGTGGCTGAAAAATGTGCCTGGAAGTCTGCAGGGGTAGGGAGTGGGGATGGGCTTTTCTCTCTTTTCACATCTGAGCCTGCAGCCTGGACAGTCATTATAGGCAGGAAGCAGAACCTTAATCACAGGTTCTACTAACCTGTGGCTGGAGCTGTGAAGCAATGGGAACAGCTTGAGGTGTTAATTTGCTGCTACTTTAACATGGGCCCCCTACTTCTTTGATACCCAGTTGAGGGAGAAGTTCTCGGTATATTCCTTACAGCTTTCTCTCCCACCCTCAACCTGGGGAGCCCTCCCAAGTAATTACAAGGTCCATGAACAAGTTTCTTTCTCCCTGCAGTCCAATCACAGCAGCTCAAGGGTATTAAGGTCAGCTCTCCAGAAATTGTCCTTTCTGTAT